AAAAAAAAAAACAAACAAATGATGGAATCAAACAAACAAATAGGAAAATAATATGAAACAATTTTTGTTATAAATTTTATTTATAACTTTACATGTCGATTAATAATCTTTTCAAACTCTAAAGGTTAGATTCGATGACAAACCAATGCCGTCTTATAAGTTATATCCAAATTGTAAGTCTAGGGCCAACACCTAAAGATATTAATTTCCTTAAATACATCAAACCAATATGGGGCTATGTTAGCTCTTAAAATTATCCAAGGAAGAAATAATTTCAAAATACGTAAAAACTAATTTGAGAACATTCTAAAGTAAAAACAAAAAAAAAAAAATCTTTTCACTCCACCAATACAATATTGAAAGCATTTATTCATTTTAATAACATGTATGTGATAACATACATAATATTAGCATCTCATCTAACATTAGATTTTGTTTGGGAGTTCTACACATTACTTTTTCTAATGAAAAATTATTTAAAATTACAAATTTATTATAAATAATTAATTTTAATTAATGTTTTATATATTTTTAACAATTTTAATTACTATTTTATTATTCATATATAAAAAAATAAAAAGACAAGAAAACCAATCCTAGCAACACAGCACTCATAAATGAATCCTTGCTTGGTGTGCCCTCCAAAATTTTGGATACATGTGGTATGTAAAAGTTCAAATTAACAATATTAATGAATTTAATAATTAATAAATTTCAATTTTTTTATAGGATTGACTAATTTGTTAAAACTTTCACAAAAGAAGAAAAGGGAGGGAAAATGAAGATTTGAAACCTAACCATATGAGTGAGGAAGCATCTTTTTGATTATTAAGAAAATTTTTTATCAAAACATCAAAAATAAAAAATTCAAAATGTAGTTGTCTCCTTTGCCTGGTTATTGGATAATTAAACCAAAACACAATTTGAATTCCCATTTTAAATTGTCTATTGCAATTTGCAAAGCTAACCACATTATTGATTTATTTTTCAAAACACTTGTGATTTGCATGATTTTAGCTGAAAATCATATTAGTAAGGTTCGAAATGCAACTCGCGTGATTTTGGGCGCATGACTTACATGATTTTATTCGAAACCCATATTAATATGATAGAATTTATAATTTGCATATTGAACGATTTTCGGCTAAAATCAAAGAATGATGCGGATTTGATGGAGTTGGCTTTCCATTTTTTTAAGTGTGCTATGATTTTGGAAGTGATGAGAGAAAAGAGGAAGAAAATTGGTAACAAAAGATTTGTTTATGAAAAATACTATAATTATAATGTCACATGACGTTATAAGTTTACAAAATGAAGTGCTGTTATATAATTGTTTTTTTCTATTTAGGAATCCATTTGTAATATATATGCATAGACTTATTTAATATTATGTCATATTCATTTATCATATCATGATTATAAAATTACAATTCTACATGATATTATAACTACTATGGTATTGTTGTTTGCTTATTTGAATTTAAAGTAATTTGTGACTTGAACTAACTCAATTTGTTTGTTTGGTTGTTTATAACCTTTAGAATAATAGCTCTGTTGATGGATTTGTGTAATGATTAGGCAATCATTTATGTTCTGCATTTCCTTTTATGCACCTTTGATAGTTATAAAGATTCATTTTTAATAAAAAAATTAAATAAATTGAATTGACTACAAAGTTTCACATGACCCCTTATTAACATTTGGAATGTCCCCCTAAGAAAAGCTAGAAATTTAAAAATACAGATTTTAAACTATTAAAGAACATCTCATGGTGCTAAGTGCTAAATGCTAAATTTCTTAGAAATTCTATCATACTATTATGGTATAACTTTCAAGTTTAATTAAGATTTAACTTTATATTTCACCAATAACTCAAAAAATTTAGACGTAATCTTCTTCCAATAAAAGTAAAAGATCTTAAATTTGAATTGTATAGCATTAACAAAAAGTGAACAGAGAGATATGAAAGGGTTGCCTTCATTGTGCAACTCAAGATAAAAAAAAATTAAGAAAAAAACTTTATATTTCTATCATTAACCAAATTGGCAGCATGGTGAAAGAACCTTTTTGTATAAAGCTGCCTTGCTTGAACAAAAGTTGTCCTAAAGTTAGACCTTATATTTTCCTTCACTACAAGAAAAACACACTATTAGCAATGTGGGCACACATCAATGAAAGTCTAGAATATATTGCTAAAAAAGTTCATAATTTTGTACTACATTGATGATATCCTTCTTTGTGAAGCTTTGATCAGTGATATTATCAACAAGGTAATACAAAACTACATTAATGAAAGTAAGCACATCGTCGACATGTACCACCTTGTTAAAATCCTACTCAATGCTCACCAAACTCTCGCAGAAAAAACAAGGCATTCCATGTTAGTGATTAGGAGAATCATCAATGTGATTGACAATACTAAGTTCAAGCAAGTGTCACATCATAAAATGTTAAATTACCAATATGACAAACTAACAACACATACTATATTCGTGAAGTGTGTAAATCTGTAACATGAGATATAATGTTATTTATGAATTTAAATTTCTTGCTAATATTCACTGACATGGTTTATAAAACTAACTTTCTATTATTAAACAAAATTTCTTACCCAACTTCATCGACGTGGGTTACAATGTTAACTTTCTTAGCTTGAACCAATAAAAAAAAAAAACCATTAGAAATTCCTTTTCCCACTATTATTTCTATAGATAGCCTAAACACCTACACAAATCTATCAACAATTCTATCCCATTTCAGTGATTTCACCATCATTTTAAAAAATTCCTTACACATTTATTCTTTATAAAATCATTACATAATTTTCTTACCATATAATAAAATACAGAAAAATAGGTACCAAAATTTAAATTCTAACATTTATCTATCATAAACCCATATATATTAATAATGATAACATATCGCATATATATTTATATATCTTTAATCAAACCTCTGAAAATTTACTCAAACAAATCTTCATTTCTCTACAAAATCATTGAACATGAGTTACTAAGGTGAAATAATACAAAAATTTACCAAAAAAAAAAAAAACTCTTACTTTGAAGTAAAATCGGCATAATATAGACTTAATAAGACCTCATCATATATTATATCACCTACAAAAATAGAAATTTATTTATGTTAGTGTTTAGAATTACCATATAATTTAAAATAAATCAACATAAAATAAAGAATTCATGGTGTGTATATATATATATTGGTATAGAGCTTATATCATACTTTCCATTATAATGTCAATTCAAGACAAAAAAAAAAAAAAAAAAAAAAACAAAGTTTAGTATAGTACTTAAGAAAACCATCAATAGCATTCTCCAAAAAAAAAAAAGAAACCAAATTAAATACTTCACAACTAATTAATCAAAAAATTGGTTAAAAGTGATGGGAGGATAAAGGAAAAGAAATAGAGGAGAATGAAGGAAAATGAAGGAAAAATAGAGGAGAAATGGAGGAGAATGTTGGAGAAGGTAGGAAAAATAGAAGAAATGAAGAGTGTTCTACAAGTCTTATTATAAATAGAGCCATGTAATATTATATAACATATAACTATTAGTTAATTTCAATTTTATTTTGGCAGAATTTTCTATCATTGATGTATATTACCATGCTATCTTATTAATATAACATACTCAAAATTCAAAACTTCCCTTACATTCCTGACGTATGCTATAATTCTGAGCTACAATTCACTAACGTTAAATACATTGTTGAATTATTTAATTAATTTTCAATTAATGTTGAAAATCCTCACACTTTCACTGATATGCAACATGTTGTTGAATGGCTTCTTTACCTATATGCATGACATTTCTAGTTATAAGGAATTTCATGGAATTTCAAGTAAGAATTGTGAGGCAGTAAGTGTTAAATTCCACCATTCACCGACATAGTATAATGTATTGCTAAATCTACAATCACTCATTAGTAAGGTGCATTACATTGTTAATATGTGATATTATCCTAATTCTTAGAATTTACACTGTGTTCATTCACTTTTATAGGTAATAATTGCACAAATATTAATCATACTAGTCAAGGTGCCAATTTATCATGTAGTTGACAATATCCACTTATACAATTCAACATGTACCTAATCATACAAAGTTAAACATAAAATGAACTCCACATGCATACCATCCAATATATTAGATTAGACATGAACTTGAAAAAGAATTGCATAAATTAGACTAATAACAATATAAATCATGTATTAAAGTGTGAGACTGAGATGTAAATAATGTCACATGCGATAGTAAGGAAGAGAAGAGAGTTATAAGCTCCCCTTTCTTAAGGTAGAGGTTTGCACATCATCTAATACTTACTAGTTTGTTTTAAATGATAGAGAGATTATGACTAATTTAACAAACATGTGAAAGATTAATTTGACTTAAGAAAGCTACTTAATTAATATAGGGAAACTTACCATCACATGCAACAATACTAAACAAATTGGTTTTGAAAGCATATTAATCTAGAATTTATATTAATTAATTGTGATGAAATCAAATGGTTATCTCATATTTTGATTACTTTTATTTTAACTGTTACTTCCTTCTTAGAGGACTTTGAGTTGGATTGTTCCATGATGATTCAAGAGTATCATCAATAACTTTTGTGTCAATATAGGTACATAGAAGTAATACATCAGTATATAATATGTATGAAGATGAAATGAGAATTATATGATTAGAAAATTATCAAAATATTTATACCATCATATTAGCTATCAAAATGTCCTTGGCTATCCATT